TCCTCTCCAGTCGTAGCTTTTGTTGCAGCTGTTCCTGTATTTGTCTCAAACTTACGTGTGGTCAGTTAATCCCAGTGATTCCGAGTCGGTGCCCGTCACAAGACTGTTACTAACACCCGAAGATCAACAGTAGGTGACTTGAGCATGCTTCGCGTGTATCTATGGAAGATTAGTACCTGCATTCTCCCTCGCAGGACTACCTCGAAGGAATGGCTGACAGCATCGACGTGGTGCCGATAGGGGCCTACTACGGGAAGGACCGTAATACGTCCTCATGACAATTGGACCTTTGCAACACAACGCCAATGTCGACATTTCTGAAGCAGGGCAAGCGCTCTGGAGCTTACGGCGCATACCTCCTTGCAATTTACGATCAGGAGGCGGGCACAGGTTTGTGGTTTGGACCATGTTCTGGCTGAATCACTTGAATACTCTTTGCTCCCACCTGTGCAGAACGAAGAATTCCAAACTGTGTGCAAAGCGGGCACTGGCTTCTCGGACGAGGACCTGCACGTGCTTGTGGCTTGCTTGGTCGGAAGCCGCCGAGCCGTGCTTTCGACGTCGGCCCTCAAACAGCAAGCAGCAACCATCCGAACCATCCGTGAGATTCTCGAGACTGGTAGACATGAGACTGCATTGAGATGCTGTGGAAAGGCCATCCAGCACTGCCATGGCAAGCGCCCTTCAACGGTAGCCCTGGGCAGAGGGTGCCGAGAACGACTTTATGTCGCAGCCGCGCGCACGGCATCGTAACCTTCACGAGCGACTGAAGCGACGGGCGTGAACAGAGGAATGTGGCAAACAGAGTGTGTTCATTGCGAACCCTAATAATTGCAAAAAATGCTCTCACAAGTTAACGAAGGTCATGGTGACCAGGAACAAAGCGAGATGCTGCTTGTTTCAGGCAGATTGTCAATGCTCTGTTGGGCGAATGGTTCGTTACCAGTTCGTTCCTGGTGGATCTTCAAGGACACTCCAGTTCGTTGTCGTGCCCTTTAATGGCAAGGCGAGTGTAGTTCAAGATGTTGCCATATTATGTCATATGTGATTCGCGTATAGTAACAGCGGTGTCAACTGCAAGTACTTCGCAAGAACTATAGTAATAGTAAGCAATGGTAAGCATATGACGGCCAGACTGTTTCTGCTAAGTAGTGAAAAATGCAGACGAGAAGTAAAAGTAAGAGTGTTGCCAGAAGTATCGAGGGAATGACGAAGGCAAATGCTCCAATACATTGAAGAACATCGGCCATGCAACTAGGATCCACGCCATGCGTAAAACGCTTACGGACTGCGATGATGTGAGGTAGCTTCAAAGGACAAGGCCTGTGCAAAGCCCAAACAGGGACAACATCTAGCTTTTCGAGTCCTGCATACACAAGAAGAATTCCGCACATGAGAGCAAGATGCGCACCACACACTGGCATTGGCGCGATTAGCACCCAAAAATGTCGACGACACGGTGACGCCAGCACGGCTTCGAGAGGCGGAAATGTATGGAACTATAGCGGGAGCACCCCCACCCTTCACCCCAAAGACACAAGCAGCCGAATTCTATGGTTCTGCCACAAGATCTTGTATACGGTGGTCACAAGAGATCCAAGAAGGAGGTGCAGCCGAAGGCCGTGGCCTGAGCTCTAACATATGGTGGTCAAAATTGACTCGCAGAGTATTGGTTGCATCACTGAAGTCGAAAATGCTGCAGCTCTATCCAATCTCTCAAGAAGGAATATGCAGGATTTTGATTATGAGGAGTATCCTTGCAAACGTTCGAAGCCAGTCCCTTGCACTCTGCACCACTGCTTTTGACTCAGAAAGACAGCCTCCCTTACGCTGCTTGCTCTGTCAACTCTCCCTTTTTAGAGTTCAATCTTCGAGCATCTTCTGGTTTGCTCTGCCTGACTTCAGGGTTTCATCTTCAGGACGAAATTGGGGTTTTGCTTCGCACGTCCTTACTTTAAGGTTTCATCCTGGGGACGACTTGGTACACGAGTCGCAGTCAAAAAGTCCGCACGGTCCACGGCAGCGGTGTAGATAGTGGTATCAGGATTTCGGGAGGCGGAAAGGCAAGCCATCAACGTGAAGACGAGTCGCAAAAAATACCTGCGACGCTGTAGCCGTGGCCGGAACGCATTCATCAAGTTTGGAAGTGTCGCAGTACTGGATTTTGCTGTTATTTGGGTGCCGATGGAGAACGCGCTCGATGTCGGAATGTGGAAAGAATGCGTTTTTAGTCGAACATGTAGGCACGACGCCACAGCGAGAGCCGCACCGCATGAAGTAAGGGCAATCTGCAATAGACTCAGGTGTTAGGGGAACTCGTCGGTTTTGTGATACTTGTAGGCGCCATGCAAGAACAACATATTTTTTCTTTTGAGTCGTTGACTATGACCCCATAACCGCGCTCACATGAGTAATGTGAGGTAGCTGCTGCAAACATGATGGAAGCAGACGGGGCAGCAGATACGTACGCGTCGGCTTCAAGTGCTACCTGAACGGCTGGTTGCCGGTATCAGGATGGACGAGTGTTCTGATCACTGCTCTTGCTGCAGAAACTTAAAACCACTTGAAAAGTGTAAGAAGATGCAAGCAGTTGCAGGACATTCTATAGATTTTGATGTATTTTGTTTGTGCATTGGGACAGGTAAAATCCGCTGTGATCTTCCAGTATCATTCTGTACTTTCGCAAGTCTCGAGCGTAAACCAGCATGTGGTAGCAAAGGTGTTCAGGCTGTTGGCAGCAGTTAGCTACACTCGTGCAGAGAGAACTACAGGTAGCGGCTTGTATGGAAGGACTTGACGACGCACTACAGCTTCTTCAAGAACCACCTGCGCCCATGTGCGGAGGCTACAGCTGCCTCTACTCTGTGGGTTGACAAAGACGCCCATGTCCTGCATGGCTTTGCAGACCAATTACAACGTGAACGACAAGCTGAAGCCAGATGTTTGGCTCGAGCCCTGTCAGGCTGCGGGCAAGTGTGCGGACGTGTTTGCCACGATTTTAATGCATTCTGCCTCTGGCACAAGCAAGCATTCGCTGCCCCCAAAGTCCAGCGATTGACGACTCTAGATCAGGTGAGTTTTGCACCGGCCTGCATCCCTATACGGATGTCTCAGTGTTGTCATTGGTGAATGCAATCCAGATCGAAGCACTGACGAAGGTTTGGGAGATCAGAGCGGCGGACTTGAGTATCTCGCCCGTGCACACGAGCGCTTTCGGCGTGAAGGCCGAACTGGACTTGCGAGCAAGCTGCATGTTGCTGGCCAACTTCTGGTGCGTTCTTTCGTCACGCGACACTTGGGACAATGCGACGATGCCCAAAGGGCAACATCTGCGCATCATGGTTCCCGTCCATGGCTGGGAAATGAAAGCGCTGTGCCATGCATTCGAGGTTTTTTGGGTTCGTCTTTCCAGATCAAGTGGATAATTACTCATCGGCCACCCTACTCAAGTCCCAACGGTGCAGACTTAAGTCATGACGGCAAGTGGACATGTTTGGGCACCAGTCGGCCCTCTTGGAAGGGGTGAGTGCAAGTTACTGCTGTGTTGCATAGGCAGGCTTATCCAGTTTGGGTCAAATCACACCTGACCAGCAACGAATTTCGGACCCGTGTCGGTGGGAACTTGGAGTGGGCTCACGCTGCAAACACACATATGCTGATCACAGTGCTGGGAAAAGTGCGGCATGGGGCCCCTTTCGTTGGCACTCCAACGCATCACTGCGTTTCGTCCACGGTTCTTGGGATTCCTGGGCGGGACGTGGCGGGAAATGAAACGGAAGACCCAAGAACGCAGGGACGCGAGGTGGTCGACAACGAGCCACGTGTTTCTGTCTTGAACCCTTTGTCCCTGCTATAACGCTGTAAAGACGCGGCCCTGGCCGCTCGACGACGTGCAAGTGGTCACTCGAGGCGTGTGACCACCCAGCTCTTCTGCCTGTTCTGCTAGTTTCTGCCATGTTTTCGCTGGAAACCCATGGCATCTCTGGATGCAATGACGAAGTCTTGTTTATGCACATGCTATACGTGAAAGATCAGGCTGATGGAAAAGGAATTGGTCTTCGATTCCCACGATTCCTTCGAATCCGAGATGACAAGACTCCTGAGGACGATGGTAGTTTGGGCAATTTCCGATGCCGGATGCCAGAGGATGCCAGACACGCGAGGAGTCAACCGGATCCGAGCAGATTGTCGATATGTTCGAGGCGCAGGCTTCCGTTTCGGGCACAGCAGCCGCTGGGAGCTGAGAAGCTGCATACCAGGCCCAAGGCAGGAGGATGCCTCCTACCCGTCCAGCTGAGGTGGACGACGATTTCTAATAGTTCGCCAGCCAACACGGAGATCAATTTCAAGGCGTTTTCAAGGTAGGTTGAGTGCTTAGCGAGTTCCTTGATTCGTGTCTCAGGCTGGAAGGGCTCCAAGTCGCCGGGGAATTGCACTGGACTCAGCGTATCGTCGCGAAGAAGCAGCCGGCAGCCGTACTTCACTGCTTCGACACGGTGTAGTCATTGATAACCCTAGGTACAGTCGTGTGAAAGACGCGAAGGGGATCCGTTTGCCTTGCAGCTGGCCCGGAGTTTCCGCACGCTACGTGCTACGGACAAATCATGGCAAACAGCTTTTCTGTGCCGAGGATGTTGAGCCTCATCGGTTCGTCGTTGCCAGATGTTGGTAGATGCTCGGCGGGTATCATGCCAGGACAAAGCCAATCTACTGCACTGTTGTGTTCTGATCAAAATTTGAATCGCCGCCTAAGCATCGTCAATGTTTTTCATCGGCGAGGGGGAAGGCAACACGCCTTGATCCGCAGTGTGTGACATCATGCGCGGGGTAAGCGGATGAACAATGTGAAAAATGCGCGGAGCTTCATGCTTGGTCCTGAGCTCCACTCCTCGAACCTGTGCTGCTGTTCAACATTAAACTAGCCGACTTGTGAAGCCATGCCTGAGCCTTGTGCATGTCATGCTTCTGAATTCTTTGTTCTATTCTCTTCGCAGATGCAGGCCTTTCAAGCAGAAGAGGTTGAAACAGAACCCGAATCGGAAGACCGCGTGCAGGAGGCTGTCTTGACTTGCCCGCGTGTTCTGTGACCCCACGGCCTGTATGTGTCAATGCTGCAGGATTCGGCCACGGCCGCCGCTGTGAATGCTTGCTCACAGTCTAAGCAAGTCAAGCTGCCAGGCCCGGAGGGTCCGAGCCGTTATGCTGAAACAGCTCGGATGTTCCCGACACTGTTGCCCGATTGGCAGCCCGGTTGGTTGCCAGGAAGCGTCTAGCAGAACACTTTGTTTTGCGCCCCTCGATGCCATTGACAGACTGCAGAAGCTGCGATAAGAACAGCTTTTTCTCGCATCTAGCCCCAGGCAGGGCAAAGATCTAGATGCTTAGCTATGACGAATCATCTGAAGCATGTGGGAACCACGACGCCGATAAGTCAACTTGGGCCATGAAAATGAAGCTGCACATGCAGAGGTTGCAGCAATAGTTTTCCGGCCGCGAGTATGTTGGAAAGCATGCAGAACTCAGACGTCAAGATTCAGATCCCCGGCTTAAGAACTATCAATCCCCGTTTTCGAGACTCTAACACCTCGTCTGTCTTATCCGAAGAGTTCAGTTGCGAAGCCGAAACTCCTTATGACGAAATCATGATAGCAGTGTCAGAAACTAGTAACTACCAATGACTGCAAGTACCGCATTTCAGAGCCTGGAAGCCGCTGGAAGCCGTCCCGATTTACTTCAACCAATCCGCGCAGAAAGCGATTCCCTTCCACCCATAGAATCCAGAGACTCTTTTCGGGTTTAGTCTGTAATTTGAAGCCGGGGATGGGCTCGAAACTTACAGTTCAAATACAGCAGAGTAGTATTCGATCATGTGCGAATAAGTTTCCGAACAAGGGTGGCCCACCCACATGTTGGCACCGGTTGAAGTCTCCGCCAGATGGGCGACTGGAGTGCGAGTTCTGCGGTCGCAAGTTCAATCCGGCCAGCTATGCGCGACATCAACCTGTTTGCCAGAAGGCGCCGCCGATTTCACAGACTGGTTCAGAGTCCGAACAATGCGGCAGTTAGCTTCAAGGCTTCAAGGATGCTACCGCAGCTGCCTTCGCAAGGTGTTTGGCAAAACTCGGCCGCAGTTCATGCCAGCTTACACGGTATCCAAGGCGCGCCATGCCCCCTCATCACAGTCTATATCCAACGTGGTTCCATGCTGCGAGAATAAAGTGGTGACTGTGAGGCGCCAGCAGCTCGAGGACCAGGCAAGTCTTGCAGACTCTCAGTGGGCAGAAAAGCGCAAAGAGCAGTCAAGGCACTGGGCATGAGCAAAATCCTGGTACCTTGGAGAAATCCAAGCTCGTTTCATTTCCTGCATTTGTTAGCATTTCTTTCTTCGAATCGAAACCTGGCCATGTGCTCTCGGTGGTTGAAGAGCCACCACTTTCTGCCAAGGTCCTCCCCTGGTGGAAACGAAGAGCGAAGCGAACAACGATCACAACGATCACCCGTGCATGGGAGACAGCCGCAGGCCATCGGCTGACGCAGCCGGTGCTCCTTGCCGGGATGGCCTTGCACTGGCATTTTAGCATGCTGCTTTCTCGGTTCAGCGACCATGTGGACGGATTTAGATGCAGGTACTGTGCCGGACAGGGTCAGCCACTCACTGGTTTTTGTTCTATTCTTTCAGAACTCTTTCACTTTAGCTTGACTGTCCTTGCTTGGCTCAGATTCATCGAGCAGTCCCTTCGCGGGCCAGGACAGACACCGCCTTGAGTGTCTGGCTTTACAAGCAAATACTCCGGATGAGTTTTCAGTCTCCTGGTCCTGATCAGTGCTCACGGTATGCCGCACAATTCTGCTCATCGCTTTTCCTTTTTCCTTTGGGCCGAAGTTCTTCAACCTAAATGAAGTCTGTCATACTGACTCATACTCGTGTTGCAACTTGCAGACTTCCCAGCTGATCTCGTATGCACGATGTCAATTGCACGACGAACAAACAGTGTGGTGGAGAGGGTGTTTCCGCAGCTCACCCAGCCCTCAGCAACTCTTGCGCATCTCGTCCTTCTGGAAAGGAGTAACGACAAACTTCGGACGAGCGTTTAGTTTGCAGCAGCAGCAAAGATGAAATTGCCTGTCGGGCACGGCAGGGGGGCTGACTACGTACAGTTTTGTCATGGGAGCATCGTGCCTGATGAACCGATCGTTCAGGGAATTGGTGATGCGTTTGGTCACTCGCGCGCATTCGCTGCTGTCGTTGACTTGGCTCTAGTGTTCGCAGCAGCTTATGGGCCTTTCTGGTCTTTGCATGCGAACGCCAGAACGAGGCTCGGCGTGACCGAAGCTTTGCAGCTGTTGTCAGGGTGTGCTGCAGGCATTCGTCGAGGTGTGTACGATGAGTCATTATGCCAGCCACCTGAGCTTCAACGCCTTCCTCCGTCTTCCATCTTCTGCCCCGTCCCTGGCTTTGGTTCCTAAGTAAGGTCCCCCTTCCCAACGTGACCTTCGAGCCGATCGACTTGGAGTCGGGGTCTGGGGCTTAGGCCCCTTGAGAGCCTTCCTTCAATGGCAGCTGGAGTCTCTGAGGCTTGGAGACGTCTTTCGAAGTGTCACTCCGAGCTTCCTCCGAAAGGAGGAAGACCAGGCCTGGTGGCCTACGTCGAGCAGTATGTTGGTGAAAATCAGACGCTGAATCTGAAGGAGGACGAGGATTTCTGGAAGACATGCTGTCCAGACATAACCTACAAGCAGAGAGCTACCGGCGTGGCTCTCACAACTACAGTTGTGGATTTCTGCCAAGCTCTCTGGCGATTCATGAGGTTGGGCTGCATGTTTCGGTCAAAATCTCGGCTCCCCACGATCTTGGCAGTGTGCACGGAATGAAGTGCAAGGTCTGGGCTTGCTGCTGCAAGTATTGAGTCTGGGCTCACTGCTGCTGGGCTGCAGATGCAGCTTCGACATGCCGAGTTCGAAACCTGACCACCCGGAAGGTCGCGAGCAATGCTCGGCCATCCCAGCCGCTTCGCGCTAACATACACCCTAGGGTCCTTGGCCAAGACGTTTCTGCAGCACAAGCCCGTCCTAGACAGCCTGCAGACGTTAGTCCAGTTGCAGGAACATGGTGGCGCTTGTCGGAACCTTTTTCCTGGCCGGGTGCACAGTTGCCTTAGTACAAGCCATGATGTCGACCGAATGAAATCTTGCCGGATCGACACGGCTTTGGGCACATTCCTCGCCGGCTTCCACGCTGCAGTGAAATGCTGTGGTCCGATTGAACAAGCATGAATGACAATGAGGACGACCCAGGTATAAGCAACCATGCCTGGCCTCCAGCAAGCACTTTCCCTGATGATAAATAACCGCCATGAAGCAATGCAGCCATTTGAAGCTGCTTGCTGCCTTGTGTTTCCGTGTTTTGCCTCCAGCGTAGGGTGTTCTTCGTAAGCATGAGTCAGTGCTGCATGGTAGGGTGCCGCCGACTTGGAGGCCGGACCCAGACGGCAAGTCCGCAAGATGGCAGACAAAAGCAGGGCCCGATCCTCGCTTCCAGGGCACTGCAGGGCACTGCACACCAAGAACTGGCGCCAGGCAAACACATCGACAATCTTCCTAGTGTCAATGATTTTGACGCTGCTGGGCCTTCAGGCTGACTGTTGCATGTGCTGCATCAGCAGTGCATCTATCATTCAGAGACCACGAATTTCGTGTATACCAGCAACACGATAAAGCTGTATGTTCTGCTTGTCAGGTGCCGCATTTCTTTGGTCGTTCATTGGTTATCTTGGCCTTAGTTGGCCTACAATGGCCAGTGCCTAAACGGCTAAGCCCAAAATCCGCCACTGCTCTCCAGACTTCCAGCATTTCGTTGAAATCTCCTGGCGTAGTTCTGCACGCCGAGGGCCTCCCTCGCGTGGTACACGCTTTCTTACATCCCGTACGGACAGCGGCTCGCGACCACTGTTCTGAAGAAATGTCATGCCCTTGGTGCGACAATTGACTGTCGTTTCACAGCATGATTTAGCATGATCAACACTCTCCGTGAAGCTTCGCAAGCGGCATAAGCCTGAAATTCAAGGTTTCGGATGGTGCTGCTTCTGACTGCTATTTCCTGAACTTTCAATGGACATGTTCTTTGTCCTGACTTGATACACTCAAGTCCTCCGATTTGCGGACACATGTACATATGCACGACTGGGCATGTACCAGACATTACACAATGCGTCGACTGCATGCTTACAAGGAGGCATTAGCTGCCTTTTGGAAATTCTCACGCCCACCTGTGGATTCGGGGCCACCCCCCGGTGTCACGCCGAGCCTTGAAGGCTTTGCACAGGCTCCCGCGCCTTGCACTCCTTTGCACACACGTGCCGAAGAACAGAAACTCTGTCAGCTCAACCCCAACTGAGCTAGCATGATCTAGCATGTCAGTGGCGTGGGGAGTGGTGAAGTCCAGGACCACTTTTGCCTCGGCATCGGAGACCTGGTCACCAGCTCGGCAGATCGTCGATGAACACCAGGGTTTTGCTCGCACAGCATCAGGGCACAGCAGACTGCATGAGACTCATGAGACACGCAAGGTCTCTGCAAGCGCCGAGGGGTCCAATCTGCGACGACCTCCAGGACGCACCCTGCTTTTCACGGCCTGGCACAGAGCCGCAGGCTACGCATGACTGGCACACCGCAGATCACCGCAGCTGCAGTATCAAGCGCTCAGAGACTTGCGATGGGTGCAGAGACATCGCGTCCGGCAAAGCGACCTCGCCTTTCCCAAGCTACACCAGCCAGGCCGGTGCCCGAAGGAACGCGCCGCTTGTGTCTGAATATCGCAGGCACACGAATTGAGGCCACAACGCACACGCTCTGCGCTCTCGGACCTTCTTATTTTACAAGCTATCTCACAACAAGGGTTCCAACCACGGATGAGATTTTCATAGAAACCACCGCTACGGCTTTCGATGTGATTTTTGGGGCAATGCTTGTCGCGCAGGCAAGCCTGACGAAAGCGATCCATGTCATACATGATGGACTGGAAAAGCATGGATGCGTGCTGCATCATTTGCTAGACTTTCTGCTGCTGAGCTGGATTGTCGGCAGACCGTTTCATTTGCCACCAGCAGTTTTATCTTCCGCATCTGGTGACAGTGCAGCTTTCTTCAAGGCTGGTGACTTTCTGGATCAAGAGTTTATCAGCTTGGAACTGGGACTGCGATCCCACGGCTTGCAGGGCGGTGTCTTTGAGTACTTGCGCAGTAAACGACAAAACCTTTGTGCTTATTGCCTTCAAGCTGATGGAAGAATGTCAATGCGTGGCACTGTGCATGTATCCGCCGAGTGCAACTGTCAAGACACCCAGACTTTCATTCAAGCCAATGCGGGAACGACGAGGGATTTGGCCAGGCGCCTGGAGTCCAGGCCTGAGGCTGAGCGCAGAGTTGCCATCTTGTCTGAGTTGTACAACGATGGTGACCAGTGTGGAGAAGGCTTGAATCTCTACTTGGAGGAATCAGCCTTTAACGATAACGTCGAGGAGGATGCCTGCGAACATGTGGCATCGCGCCTTATTTTCGATTTGGGACCGAAGTTCATGCTGCGACTGCAAGGTGCTCTCGTTGGCCTTACATCTAACACCAGAGTGCCATGTAAATGCCGCGTGCGACTGGACATCGCAGACAGCCATTCATCGGAAGTCAAAAGAGTCAAGCCCGGCGGCTTCGCTGGAGACCTCCAAGCCGACGTTGAGCTCCTTCCAAACTATGGAGTCGACGAAGAGGGCAACTTCCACTTCCGACATTCCCTTGTCAAGCTCCAAGCTCCTGCCACCAAACTTCCCCTTACAGGGCGCCTGCTTTCACTGGAAGTCTGGAGCTCTGACATAGCCGCGACGGCCAGCCGCAAGTGGCGCCTGTCGGCTTTCGAAGTCTTCGGTGATCTTCTGGAGCTGCCAGAGGAACTGATGTTGCGGGATGGCCGAGCTCCCTTTGTCTTCGATGAGCGTTCGGCAACCTGCTGCCAGTTTCAAGAAATCGGCATTCTCGTAGGTGCTGCATGGCATGATGAAGCTTGATCTGATTGAGATTTCTTGTCTGCCGCAGGAGAAGGAGCAAAGAGTCAGACAGGTCATGGACGTGCAGATGGAGGCTGCATGGGAATAGACAGAGTTTAACCCAGCCACTGTTCGGACGAAGAAGCCTTTTTCGGACGAGTATCTCATCAATACTCATCAGTCAATAATGCGAGGAGGACGATGATGAACGCATCTGGTCATGCATCAGCTGTGTCAGGAAATCCGCAACATGCGGCAACAAGCCTCCGAGGATTGCTGAGCAGGGGCAACCACACAAAGCGTAATTGACAGAGTGCCTACACACGAGGACCCAGAGGAGCCACCCGCAGCTCCACCGGAACCCGACAGCGAAGGACACAGCTCGTCTGGCAGCCCGGTACAAATACCATTCAACTTGCCGCGACTCGCAAGCTGCCACATGTCAGGCCGAGTGCCAGGTCAGGGAGTCTTTGCATTCCGCCCAAGGATGGGGTATGATGGGGTTGCCACATAGGCTTTCGAGAAGAAGACGCAGCGGTGGCAGCGAAGCATCATTCTGGAATGGGCAGCCATCAGGTGTTCACCATTTCTTCAGGACGCCCCATCTGCTCGCGATCTCCGCCAGCGAGGCGAAGCAGCGCAGCGAGTAGGCCAGCTTCTGGATTCGCAGCATTTTCAGCATGGAATCAAGTTCTGGTGCAGATGCCTCGAGCCATGAAGCTACAACGGCAACTTGCCTGCAAGATAGATGCTGCCTTTGTCAATCGGGCGTTCCATGAAGAAGAGCTCTTTTTCAGTCAAGGCTCCAGCACACGAGCGAGTGAGGAAAAGCTACAGACATGAGGCCATTCACAACCTTGAGAGTTTGGCTTGGAGCTCGCTTTTTGGCGCGAGGAGACACCGCTCCCACACAACCAAGCGCAGAAGGAAAGACGGCCGCTGGCCTTGGACGATTCGCATTCGAAGTTCTGTCCCGGCGAAGGACGCACCCACAGGCTCCACATCGATTGGTCAAGGCTACGAAATTGCTCGGGAGGGTCATGAGCGTTTGGTGCTTGCTCTCGCCGCTTTTCAGAAGAGATGCTCTCTGCTGAGCCTAGGGCCTAGGGGTGCCTCTGGGTTGTGGTCTCATGCCCACAAGGCCAACAGTACAGTCACTACAGCAGAGCAGACGAGCCCTGTGTCGTGCCTGTACATTTTTCTGTGATGTGCATCAGGATTTTTAGTCAATTTGATTCTCCACGTCCTTTTGCCACAATGGTTAGAACTTGCGGGTGTGCAGAATGCTCATACGAGCATCGGTGCCTAGGAGGGCGGTGTCAAACAGAAACCGCCGAACACGACGCGCAGGCACAGAGACGGTTCAGCATCGTCCTGCTCCCGAGAAGGTTGGAAAGAACTTGTGAGATGTCTGCTTACACGGATGTGCTTGAGCAGTGGGCAGTAGTCGGAAAATTGCTAGCTTGGCTGCAGCAAGCGTCACTTGCGAAACGAAGCAGCGAAGCAGTCAGGACTTTAAGCAGGATGTATCTCTTTCCAGTTGGGGCCAATGATACAACTCGGTCTCCGGAAAACATTCGGCAGCAACTCAGTCTGTGGACGAACCAGGCCATCACGGTTGCAACGCTTGCCTTGCCGTCGTGGTTTCGAGTGCCCCGTATGAAAAATCTGCAGAGCTTTCTCAGGGTTAAGACTATGATTTCGGGCCAATCCATTGTGGGGCAGGGAGCAAAGAAGGTGATTAACAGAAACCGGCGTCTTGGAATCGTCCACGAGTCGCCTGAGTAGAGACTGAGATTCGGATTCGTTTAAAAAGTTCGTGCCTTCTCCTTATCCCTGACCCTCTTCCATGGACGACCCGGAGACCGAACGGAGATATTGTGGTACAATTAGAGAATCACCTGCGTTCTTGCCGGACAGGTGGCCCAACAGATTCTGCCGGCTGAAGGCCGGGGTCCAGCAAGAAGTTTGATGAAGTTTGACAGCTCTTCCAAGTGTTAAAGGTCTTCGTCAGGGCTCACCTGCTAGGGCTACCTGAAACTGAATTGTATCTCTATACTCGCACCTGGACTGTCGTGTCTGAATTCTCAATTACATTTGCACCACGTCACGTACTTCCCAAGCGTTCCTGAAAGAAAAGCCCGAGCGGGCATCGCTCGGAAAAAGCTCTGGAACGCTGTTGAGGCTGTTAAATGTTAAATCTGGAGCCTTTCACCGTCCTAATCATGACATCACGATGTCAACAAGTCCCTTCAGCATCAGACCGAGAGTCTTCATCTTCGATCGATCAGTTCCCGGGCCCATCCGTGTGGGGCCCTGCTGGGCCACGCAATGCGCGAGGCGGCTGCACAGTGCAGTTGTTCTCTCGTCCGGAGCTGCTTTCGCGGGGTTTCTGACACTGAAAAAGCATTTCTGCGCGGTCTGCATGCCCTTTTCGTCATGAGGCCGGCTCGGTTCATGCGACGTTTTCGCGATCCGCAAAGCGAATATCCATCGGCATCCATCAGCCCACGACCCGAAATGTCACTGTGAAAGCTCGCGAGCTCCTCCGCTACTATTGTCGCTTGCATCGCAGCACCGCAAGGGTCGAACACAGGCATGCGTTTGAAGCGATCGACGTCTCAGCACCATTCCACACTCACGCTGATGTCCTAGAGGCTGGCCCACTGTTTGGTGCACGGGGGGTTTTCCGTGCCTTGATGTTTCATGTTTTGGATGGTGTTCGTTTGGAGGCTTTGTTGGGAGGTGGTTGTGTCATTGTTGCCATCTTGACTTCCAACCCTAACGAACGTTCCTGCCGACCTTTGGTAACCTGACACCCATTCAGGTACGTTGCACAAATAGGCAAAACAGGCCGGACACACCAGTGTTCCGGGTATGGTCGCCATATGAATGTGCGTTGCTTCCCAGCACAAACAATGACAGAAAGAAAGACAGAAAGCACCTGAAGAACCAAATAAAGACAGAACGACAGAACAAAACGAAACAAAGAACAAAATAACGAACGACATGGAAATAACCAACTAAATAGCGCAGTTTGAAAGAACGACATAAAGAGACAATGTACAGAACGATTGACAGAACAGCGAGACGAATGGCTGTCGACAAACAGATCGGCAGAAATTGAGTAAAGCACGTTCAGTTCAGGAAGATGGAGTACACAACAGAAAGACCCGAAGAACAAGGAAATTGCTTCGGCAGGCATGGTATGCACAGAAACGCTATCAAACGGGCACAGTAAACCACCCGTGGGGACGTTTTCGTTGCTTCTCAGTGCAAGGAGTGGTGGCCGCGCCAAGTGTGTCAGAGCTGCACCTGATGGCATGTGAGGACTTGTGCTGCCTTTAGTACAAGAGCAGTGGGGCAGGGTCGGATGTTGACTTCGGTCCAGGACTGCGGCCGCCGCTTCAACCCTTCCAGCCTGGAAAGGCATCGCGCAGCGCTGCGCTTAGCAATTCCAATGTGCAACAGACTCCCCTGTGCAACAATGGCACAGCCGGTTCTGCTGTGCCAGCAGTGTGTTGCCGTGTGTTGTGTGAGAGTCTGATGCCTGCAAGGTGTGCCGGAGCGTGTTTGGCGGCATGCATATGAGATCGACCTTCGAATCTCAGAATCAGAGGCTGCGGGACGTCAAGGACCGCAAGGACGAGCTCACTGACGCCTCTTGCCACAGATCATATAGACTTCGCAGGATACTGCTGCGTTGCAGGAGCGCGCAAGTGGCCCTGGTGCTGTCCTACCATGTGATGCCGGCCACTTAGTCTCCAGCTGATGCATGTATGGTTGACCAAACCGAGGACACGCAGAGCCTTCAAGCTGACATTGTAGTCCTGTGCATGCTGCGTGCCTGGATATTTCAGAGAGGCCGCTGGACGGAACGATCGTCGGACAAGGACATCCTCAGACGTGCTAGCCAAAGTACAACTGATGGTTTCGCAGAACTTGTACACGACTTGAAGTACTGCTGTTGAGGCCGGCACGCCGGTGGCACAAGCTAGGGCAGCTAGAGCGACTTATGCCGCGTTACTTGGACTGGCAATGTTGGACTCCAGATGTCATAAACCTGGTCGCTCCTTGTGTAGGTTCGCATGCGTTTGTTGTGTGTGTGTGTGTGCACGACTTGTCTGCCAGATAAAGGTGGAGAGAGACTGTAGCCGGATCATCTACAGCTCTGAGAACTTGTGCAGAGCTGGCGTGAGTGTAGCTGCAGGCCAGGGCCTGCACGGCCCGGTGCGACCCAGGTGACGTTGCACTTTCCTGGATGCTTCGGGTATTGTCATGTGTCAAGAAGCCTGAACAGGAGTGTCCGCAAAGCGCAACTCTGCCGTGCGAGCAGGCAGTTTACCAAGTCAAGTTGCACGGTTCGTTGACTGCTTGTCCATCCGTCGACTGTGCCGACTGATACGAGATGATCGGATGGGAGAATCGTTACAAATTAAGTTATTAAGCCGTACGCCGGATTGAGGGAGTAACTTACACTGAGCGCAGATGACAGAGCCCCGGCATTCAGGTCGAACAACGGCTGGCTCGCGGCAAAGCTGTCGCGGAACGGGCACAAGGAGGCCCGACGAGGGCCTGCCAACAAGTCCGGATAGAGCGACCAGCGTGCCTTGAGAGCAAATTGTGTCTTCGTCTCCGCACGACCACTGCCATTTTCCCGACCCCAACCGGAGACTGTACAGGTTTTGCTTGCGTGTAATGTTACGGTCTGCGCAGTTTCCACTCCGCGACGGTCAGCTCTGCGAGAGTCTCTTCGAGATGCCCCCAGGCCTTCATGACTGCAGCGCAGCGACGCGCGCGTGCCATGCGCTGGCGTTTGTCGAAAGGAATGAGGATCTACAGTCTGGCACTGGCCCTGGCCGCTCCTTCCGGCCGGCTGAAAAGCATGCAAAGGCCAGGTTTGCGGATGTTTGTCGTTTTCGATCCTGCAAAGGGACGGCTTACTCTGATTGTTCTATGGTGACCCTCCCAGTGTTCACTTCATGTCAAGAACAGCCCCCCCCTCCACCCACGCGAGGAGGATGTTGGCCCCGGCCTTTGCAACAACAGTCGCCAATAGTCGCCAGAAGCAGACAAATATTGGCGGAGAAGTATCCGGTGATGCCCGCAGTACCAGTGTGAAGAGGCAGATTTCCACAGTATCAGGGCAACATGACAGCGCAGTGAAGCCAAAGTCCAGATTGGGTCTGTTGGGACGGCGTGCTGTTGAGTTAAGGCTTTTCCGCAACTAGTAACGGTAGCAGGGCTGCTGCTTCGTGAGTCCACCTGGAGATCAACATGCATCCTATAGCTGATGCGCTTGCAAGCAAATTCTTAAACCTTGCAGAACCTCAGAGGCATCGCACTCAATTATTGCACATCGAACTGGCTCGCAGTGGACACTGCTTCATTGTGTTCGACAGCAGTACTGCAAGTCCACGACAAAGGATTGAAAAAAGCATGAACAAAACATCACCACCCCCTTGTGGCTTGAAACGGGAGGGGGGGAGACTCTGAAATATTCAGGGCAGTTTCGGTGGAGGTCAGAGTCATATAATACCTTGGTTGTGGATCGGACTTGATCTTTCAGAGTCATCCTGGATATCGAGGTGTTTCTTCTATTTCAAGATAGGTGCCGATCGTTTCCGCAGGACAAGGACGTATTGAGAAAGAAAGAGCGCTTTCGAGGGCCCGCAGACTGGCTTTGCAGCACCACATCTCTATTAGATGGTGGTTCTCCTGAGGGTCCAGCGGCCTCCTTTGCAAGGCTGCTACTACATTTCCAAAAGAAGTCCATTATTTGCAAGTTTCCGATCACGTGAGGATCTGGCCTCCTTTGTACTGCTGCCACGTACAGCTAAGAAAAAGGAAGTGGTTCCGAGGTCTGTCACTCAATGCACAGGTCTGCGGAGCCAAGCCTACCTGCCTCTCCTCAAAGAACCCCTGCTGAAATTGCACGGAAACTTCACGCCCCCTCCCAGACTCTAATCTACTTCATGCGTGAGCTTGAAACAGAATCAACCTAACAACTCCGAAAAATGGGGAACTGGTTGAACACCACATTGCTTCACTGGTGATCCGTTAATGCGTTGCATTACATCAGGGTCATTGCAGGTGCAATGAAGTAGATGCTCCAGGTGTGCCAACATGTTTATCCAGCACACGGCGATGCGAAGCGGTCAACTTGCAGCGCGGGGCACGGTTCAGGGCCGTGCACTTTTGGCGTACTGTGTACAGTTCCCGTGGCTTCCCCCTTGCCGTTTCTACCCTTTCCTGCGCAAGGTCGCCAGAGCCTCAAAAGGACTTCCCCCGAGGCAACGTGGCACACAGTTGCAGCTTGCTTGCATCTTTCGGATCACGACGCGCTATCATTACAGCATAGCCCAAGCTGAGCATGTTCGCAAGAAGGGGTCTTCTTCACGGCCTTCTGGACGAGGGAGCACAGAGGCAGGGCCAACGTTAAGGGTGGGAAATCTCGGATGACGAGTATGCGGTGTGTGGCAGGCAGCATCACCAGGTGCCAGCGGTAGGCGTGCCAGATGCTCGGCTTACCCCGACATTTCCAACTGTGTAGCTGTCCCATAGGGACCGAATCTGACTGCTTTGTCGACGACTGAGCGTTTTTTTCTGGAGTGGGATCAGGCCGTGGCGTGGCAACAAACAGGGAGCGACGGGATACGTTGAATATGGGAGACGGAGCAGCAAGAGGGGCACAGAAACGAACCGGTGATAACCGTTAACAATTAACAAAAAGACGCACCGGAGGAGGAGGGGACACAAAGCTAGAACGAACTGCGCGGAATGGCAACCTAGCCAGCCGTTTCAAGCCTCTTCAAGAGAACCTTCTATTTCTGCCCGTGCACACCCGGGGAGAAGGCAAATCAAAAGAACCCAAGTCCAAGGGATTCAGTTGGAGAGTTGTTCTGCTCTTGTTCTTCTGCTGGTGGTCCGGCGCAACAGCAGGTCAGTTCCACACCACCTCGCACTCGGCAAGACAGGTTCGTCCTGGCCTCAGGCAATTCAGAGACGGGTCTGTCGAACATGTCAGCCAGCTCGGGAAAGAAAAATGGTTGTCACCATCTGTCAGGGAGTTTCGGAAGTGGTGCAATTGAGAGCATTTTGATAGCACGGTGTTTCTAGAAGGTTTTGTTTTTTACAAAAGGCTTTTCGCAGATGCACCGATTCTTTGGTGCCGTGCTCCCAGGCAGAAACGTAGCACAGGCGAAGTATGGTAGTTGTGCTGAGCCATGCTTCGACACGTCGGGATTGCACCCTAACAGCAGAATGCACTTCTACAAGTGCCGGTAAGGTGAAGAGCAGTACTTCATCGACATCTGTGCGAAACGCAGAGGGAGGCATCCTAGTTACGCTCATAATCACTCATGTACTGCCGGAGTTCGATTGGTGGGACGGCGACGTCAACTAATCTCCACTGCGAGGCCTCGGTTCCGGCAGCGTGGAGTCTGCCTGGCTAGAGTTAGTCCAGCCTTTGCAGGTAGCTGGTTTTGCTTGAGGCCTGGTTTTGTTGCAAGGCTCATACATCGGTCCGTCTCGGACATCCTGACACCGCGATCCTCTCAGGCAGAGCAGCATGGCATGACACCTTGCATCACTCCATGATTGGAATCGTCGCGAGGACCCTCAGAGTAAGCTGGACATCTGGGAGCAGGCTGCCGCTGTCACTGGTCACTAGCTGCTGGTAAGGAATGCTAAGTATGCTTTTCAGGAAGTCCAAGAGGCCATCCAAGCCATGACCGAATCCAAATCCGAGGACCGAGCGCACAGCGAGAGGAGCGAGAGAAGTCCAAGATGCCTTCAGGAAAGCGCCACTGCAACAAACCTTCAGGAAGCTCGTTCCGGCTCCAAGGCGTGCCATGAGACTTGGTTGTGTCGCCAGGCCTTGCCGACCTCCTCCCCTCAACACGGAGGTCTTCGCGGTCTGGAGGCACAATGCGTATTTTCGTAAACCACGGGACCTCTGAGAAAAGTTGTCCAGGAGCGTGCGACTCTCCTCGAACGGGCACGGCTTGGAGTGAAGATGGGCCAGCGGCCGCAGCGCGCCACTCGGTACCAATAAACTCGGTAAGCTTTGCCATGCGATGGACCAAGGCAAGCCTTGGCTGGGTCAATGTCGGAGACGATTTTGCCCTGCGACCTCTTGCCCCGGCTTCAGACTGCACTCATGACACACTAATTAGGGTCACTAGGGCGAGGGATCTGGTGTGGGCAAACTTCGCTCCAAGGGAGAGGGACTTGCTGCTCGCACTTGGTCGGAAAAGAGACCGACCGACGAGTTGACGTTTTTGAATAACCTTCGGAAATCTCGCAGCCCGCAGTACTTGCGGTGTACTGTAGCCTCTAAACTGGCCTCCGAATGGAATAGATGCCAAGGTCAGAGTCAGTGGCTTCCGCTTCTTTCACTGCCTCTTCGCAGTGGAAAGACGCCGCCAGACCTTCATTGACTCACATGACCCAGGTGGCGGCGCAAGACTGTCGTAGAAGTGATACCATAGCTCCAGACTTGAAAGTGCTGCTCAGACTTGCCCTGTCTTGCTTCGAAACGCAACCGCAAACCCGAGCTGCAACAGGACTCAATGCAACCTGCAGGCGGCTTGACGCTCAATGATGACATCACTCACGTGTTTCTGTGCCAGATACTGCTATGTCGGATTTCTAGGGGGGTAGGGGGTAGGAGACTATACTTCCTTAAATAGGCCTTACTAGGTCCTCGTACTAAGGCCCCCTGCCCCCTTCCCCCCAAAATCCCTATGACCAAAGGGCTTCTGCACCTGAACTGAAACGTCCTTATCTCGTTCGATGCATAGAATCGGACTCCAGGGAGGAAGACATCGTAGTTTCGTGATGCGGCGTGGTATGGTAGCTATCCATCTGTTCATCTTTCTTCCGTTCCAGCAGGGTCGAACCTGCATGTCCGGATGTCAACACGATGGCCCTCCGACACCCCAAATCTCGTGAAGAGTGCAGAGCGACAGACGAGAATGCTGCACGAAAGCAGGGTGCACCCAGAAACTCTCTGAGCCAACCATTTCCCGGTGAATTTTGGAGAGCCGAAGGGGTCTTCGGAGGGAAGCAGACAGAGATCGTGCCAGAGGACTCTCCTCCTGCAAGCCGCAAGACTCTGCCTTCACAGAACCGAGGCCATCCAGATGTCCTCAGCAGAACGCAGCCTGCAGTCCCATCCATGATGGAGGAGTCGAGCTCAGCTCGTTTCTGCATATTGACTTTAAATGAATCATGACCCTCTTCTTAACGTCCGAGCTCTGGCCCGGTTCAAGATATGTTGGAGGACAGAAGCCTTTCACATCCTCCCTTGAAAAGCCATGCCCTTCGCGGATGTGGCTGCGGCGTGGCTGGGATACGCGGTCATCGCAGGAGCTTGTGTTGTGAAGCTTCCGCAGATCTACTTGATGGTAAAGAACCGGAGTGCAGAGGGCTTGTCTGAAACTTCAGCAGCGCTGGATGCCATAGCCGCCAGTTCCTTCTCCTACTACAACTTGCTCAAGGGATTCCCCATATCTGGCTGGGGCGAACAAGGGATAGTTGCCGTTCAGGCCACTGTTGTCCTTCTTTTGATATGGGTATACCGTGAGGGAATCCGACTGAAAAGGCGATTCTGTGCCTTGGTGGCATGGTTGGCCATGAGCGTACTTCTGCTCAAAGAAGGCCACAAGGAGGACTACAAGTACATTCTTGTGGTTCTGGGAACTTCACCGACTTTCATGACTGCAGTTTCGCGAATTCCCCAGATTTTCCTGAACTGGCAAAATGGTCACACTGGACAGCTGTCGGCCATTACTTTCTTCTTGCAGTTTCTGGGTAGTGTGGTGCGCTTTCTAACCACGCTGCAGATCATGGGTAAGGACGTGCTGTCCTTAGTATCGCACGCAACAGGCGCCATTTTCAACCTCATCGTCGTTCTACAAATCTATTCTCACAGTACTCCGTCCGCCGGCAGAGCTGCCAGACCTTGCAAAGCCGTGGCTGTTGCGATGGCCACTGATAAGGGAGCGTAGCGGCGTAGCTCGAAGCTGAGCCTGGTCGAAGATTCGACCCTAGACTCTGGGACCCAGTCACGAGTCGGTTTGACATGTCTCATCGCTTTGCATTCTCTGCAGCAGAAGTCCGTGACACTCCTTCATGGAGCCATGTCAAAAGGGCCACTTCAAACTGTTTTGCCTCTGGCTACCATCTCGGCCTCCCGTTCTCCACATCACGTAGTGCTGCATGTTTGAAGATGAAACAAGGCGCCACTGTCTAGCCGCTCCCGCTACAGAGTCATTGAGGCGTGATGCGTAGTAGTTGAGTATTCGCTGCTCAGCTACTCGCCGTGAAGCTCGCGCAGGCAAGCCATGCAAGCCCTTCAAGGCGACCCAGCTATCAGTCACTGGAGCTTTCAGGAAGCGTCGCTGACTTACTGGCTTTACCGGGCAGCACTAAAGTTCAAGTTGCAGGACAGGCTCGATCCGGGCAGACAGCTGGCGCATCGACAGGGCTAAGGTGCCCGTATTCCAACTGCACAGCTGTTGTTCTTCGGCTGTCCCCTTTGCAGGCTGCCTGTGAGGCGCCGGGACTGTGAGGACTCTCGGTCATGCTCCTGGTGGACAGACCAATTTTTTTTGCAAGCGCCGACACCAATGCTGCACGTAGTTGTGGCTCTTTTTGGCTGCTTTCGGGGAGTGTCCAACATGTTTCCTGATCTCATGAGCAAGCAGGTGCAAAGACATGAAACACATCACCGTAGCAACAGCCACAACAGTAGCTATGGATTTCGATGAGCTGGATGAGTTGGACCCTGTGGAGCTTCCAGATGACAGAGAGTTCTGCATCTTGATCTGGGGCGCAACAGGCTCGCAGCCAGGGAGCTACGCAATTCGCTAGTCAATGCTTCTAGGAAATTTCAGAGCTGGTTCGAAGAAGCGCCACAGGCTTTACCGGAAGCCTCATGGTGGAGCATCTGGACTCCATGGCAATGGAACGAGGACTGACCTGGGCCGTCGCGGGGCGCAACCTGGGCAAACTCCGGTGATCTGGCCACCCTGATAGCAATATCTTTCTGGTGTGACGGGATGAGTGCTTCGTGAAGTTTGGTCCCAGTGTCGAACGGCCCAGAGCAAAGGAACCTGGTGGCGCATTGCAGAAGCAAGCCGGGGCTTGTTCATGTAATTGGTGCAACACCATTCTCCGACGTGGTTGCGAGATGCCATGCTGCTTACATGCACTCAGCTACCAGAGCATTCCGGGGGAAGGTGGCGAGAAAGATGGGGAGCATCACCGGATATCACGGAACTGTGGCGAGATCACTGGAACAGACAAGTAACGGGCGAAGGAAATTGTTCCAATCGATCGAAAACTTCTCCACTCACCCTCCCCAACAGCAAGTGCTGTGGCCTCCCTGTCTTCCGCAGAATTCAGTTTTGGTTCTCTTGAAGTCCTCGCTCAAACAAACTTCGGAGCTGCGGACTCTGGCGAGACTGCGATGTACGTTCCAATCACTGAACATCGGCTGCGGCGGAGCATGCTTGACTGAACGTCTCACCAAATCCACCTGCTGACAAATCTCACCATGCTCTTCGTCTTCTATCTTAGCACGTTGTGGCTGAGGTTGTTATCTCAGCCGCTGGCCCCTACAGCCTGATCGGCGAGGCACTCATGTAGCCCAATCCGATCTACAACTGCTAAATCAATCTTGTGTGCCCTTGCCTCCAGAGCCTGGCCTGGGTTTGGCAAAGAGTGAAAGCTGTACCCCACGCAGCATTTCATCATTCACTCATCAGCAACCGCAATGTCAGGCAGTCATCGAGGCGTGCGTGAAGGCCTCCACACATTACATCGATGTATGCGGGGAATTACCATGGATGTAGCCTTTTTGCATTCGGATTGCAAAATGTATCCACAGAGAGTCACATTTCTTACTTAGTTCACCCCTCTTCGTCCAGCAAGTCCTACGCAAACTGGGAAACAGCAAGCCAAGCTGACAGCACAGGTACGATGTCGTGCAGAAGTATCATAGGGAAGCCCAAGGGACTGGAGTATCAATTGTCATATCTGCTGGCAATGTGAGCTGCGCGACTCAACTTAAGGTTGGTTGAGAGATTCCCGTTCGAACACTCTCATACACTTTCTCACGGCAGATACTTTTTGAGAGATGAGGCGTGCCAGAGGAGGTGCTGTGCTACAGCTTGGTGCGAGAACTTGGCCCATTACTAGCTTTCCGCGTCTCTGCCGCAGCCCGTGGGGTTTCCCAAGATTTCCCAAGGTCTGCGCATGATAGTTTGCCTCAAGAGTGTGGACGCCACGACTGCAGTCTTAAATGTTTTGGAGCAGTCTGAAACTGGTTTCTCGAAACGTGCCGAGCAGCTGCAGCCTCTCGCCGTTTCAGCTTTAGACGTTGGACTTCGAGACTCCCCGCAACGGAAGTCTCTCCATCGGCTTTCCTTTCAAAGGGTCGAGTTCCATGTGCACAATGCAAGCAACTTCACACGGTCTGATTGCGCTCAACCTGCGCGTAGTACTGAAGACTGAGTTGCCGGCGGAAACGTGAACCAGCTGAAGCAGCACAGAATTTTGGTTTTCCGAGGCGAGTACTTCAGTCAATACGGCGGAGTCAGCGGCGGAACCCTTCAGTCACAGGCTGGAGGGGCCAAAGAGCATCTCGTTCTGGTCCTGGTCGACTCGGCTCCCAAATCGTGTAAGGCGCCTCCAAGAGATGCAAGCGAAGATCAAGATCCATTTTGCCTGGGTGGTAGCCGGACCTGCGGCACCAGGTGGATCCTGGCTTCTGAAGCTTAAAGCCGGGAAGCATGCCAGTGTTTGCTAGGCCAGAAGATTTGGACTGCACCACAGTGGAGGTCGGAGCCTCAGACTCTTTGCTAGACTGAAACTGCCTTGCAACATTGCCCTTGCCACGTCTCCGAATGCTGACGATCGTTGCTGAAGATCCTGTTCAGGTGGATCCGTGGTTTCCCTACCTGTTCCTTGCACCAGCTTACAACAGCCTCGTTGCCTCCAGAGTGGTGCGGCGAAGCTGCCAGCTGTTCGAGCACAGTGGCGAGTTGACCTACGGAGAACGGCTGAGTGTGGTGGTCCGTGAAGCGCAATTGCAGAAGTCTGTCGCAGAAGGGCTGCTGCAGCAACTGCAGCCCTCGGGAGATGCTGTTGAAAGAATCCGTGTGGCACGCGATAAAGGCGAGGCACCGTGGCCAGGTCAGGGACCGCCAGCACGCACTCGCGAGATGTACGGAAGCGAGATTCTAGGCATCGCACAAGGAGAATCTGGAGACTGGGCTTACGCACGTTGGACATCAGGTTGTGCCTACGAAGTTTCAAGCATGGCTGCTGTGTCTGGAGCTGTGATACTCGCAGCGCGGAAAGGACGTGCGCCTCGATATTGCACTATGGCTTTTCGGCAAAAGTTTAATAAAGGTTATGGATACTGGCCAACACTTCAAGGAACGAGCGAGATCTGGAGTGGTGACTCCAGCATATGCTTTCCACGGTACCGGCTGGATTGATTTGATGCTCAGCGTGTCCTGTCCGCAGTTTTTGGGTTGTGTCCAGGGATGCATACCGGGCCGAAGTTCTGAAGTCATTTGCAAGGGTCTGTTGTGTCAGCAATGCTCCCATGTCCAGGTTCCCTTTGCCAATGGCAGTGGTAGGCACGGTGCTCATAGTTGCCTAGCTGTCAGCATTCTGAAATGAGCATGATGTGCTTGGCATGCCTGGTCATCGTATCCGCTCGTTTCGCTTCATTGCATTGCGATGGTGATTATGAGGAGGATTTCCCTCAAAGTCGTTCCGGGCAAGCCAACCGAGGAGGACCCGACTTTGGATCTGAAGCACTCTGCACCGACAGAATGTGTTGAACCTGCTGCTTTGTGAGGGATTCTGAAAGGTGCGAATACGCCGTTCCTCCGTGAAGTCATTACATTGTTTGTCGGCTGCCAGGCAACATGAAACATGAAACGGGCCGCCGGAGAAGCCTCGGCTTTTCTTTGGCTGACCTTGCTGTAATACCCTCTAACTTTGAACTTACCTGCTTGTCGTTCCATCTCATCCACATTGGTGGTTCACCTTTCGCCCCGCAGATGTTCGATTCATCATCCATCTTGGGCATCCGCCGAGAGCACAGGGTCAGACACTGGCACTGCCTTCCAAGCAACGATCATCAGCGTAAGGTACCTTCACCAAACAGTGCATTCGCTGTGGTTGTAGAAAGAGGATTTCAAGATGCAGATCACCGAGAAGAATCGGAGGATGATGCAAGGCCTGCAAGGCGAGCTGCACTTCCTCGTTGGTGGATTCAGCTCAGGTCAGCAGCGGCTTCTAGCCGGTGAGCTGAAGGCATGGGCAGCACCTTCCTTGTGTGAAAGCATTTTCTGACCGCCTGAATGCGGCGTGCGCAGATCACGGAGGCGAAAAATAAAATATGCTCCGTTTGACTGTGCCGAACTGTATCTGCAGTGTAGACCGAGCCGCCAGTCTTGGATTCAGAGAGATGAAGCATGATCGGTTCTTGCTAAAGGCCTGGGCTTGAACATAAACATACGGAACAGGTTTCACTGCAGGCTTGGCCGGTTTACAGTAATCGATGGCATGCAGCTTCCCTCTTGTAAACCCAACGTTTCGTGGAAGGATATACCAAGCTGCGAAAACTAAGGCCTGCTGGAAACTGGACGCAGCCGAGCCAGGACGCCGTTCTGCATGTTGCTGCCATTCCTGATTTGCACAACATGCACCGACAATTGGCAAGTGTTTTTTTGAGGTGATAAGATGGAAAGCAAATAGATGCCTGAATCGGATTAGTTCAAAGACAAGAGACTAACTTCTTGGCCTCTGAGCGGTGCTTCGGCCACTCAGCTCCTTGGCGCTTGACTAACCTACCTTTCTGGCTTCTTGGCCTTGTGGCTTCCCGGCTTCCTGGCTATTCTCGGCGCAGGTCATCGCACGCAGGCCATGGACGTTACTGTACGGTTTAGGCATGGATGCGCTCTGGTCGAGCTATGGACGTTCTTGCTACGGTTGCGGCATGGATGAGCTGGTCGTCGCCACAATTAGCCATGGACGTTGTTCGGGTTTGGGCATGGATGCACGGGTCATCGCCGGCAATAGTGAATGGAGATTATTACGCTTTTGGCTGGCGGTCTGGCCATGGTTAACACCCTTCGGCCTCTCCCCATTCCTACCAAAACGTGGACGTTGGGACTTTATGCACGGCAAAAGTGTGGCGGAAGTGCCTGACAACTCCAGGGCTGATACACACGCATGTGGTACTACTACTACTACTACTACCACCACCACCATCACCACCACTACCCCCACTTCAACTGCTACTGCTACAAAACTGCTGCTGCTACTGCCAGTACTGACAACAACTACTACTACTACTGCTTCTACGACTATTGCCACCCCCTAACTACTCACCGAGCAACTACGCTTCTCTAACCAGGGTTCTGGAAGCTGGAGTTGGCAAAGTCGACAAGTCAATTTTTGAGGCAACAAGAAGTGGTAGGACATTGCGATAGTACCGTAAGTACCTTGTAAAACGCACGTGCACGCAAGCTTCTCGTCATCACTATCCCCCGAACCGTTCCGAAATCCGAAGCTCGAGTTTGCAAAGTCGACAAGCGGATTTTGAGACAACAAGAAGTGATAGGAAGTTACGAAAGCACCGCAAACCGAGTGAAATGGATGTGCTTTTGAGATGGGCTGCTACTACTGCTACTGCTGCTGCTACTACTACTACTACTACTACTACTACTACTACTACTACTACTACTATTACTACTACTACTACTACTACTACTACTACTACTACTACTACTACTACTACGACCACTACCACTACTACTACTACTACTACTACTACTACTACTACTACTACTACTACTACTACTACTACTACTACTAGCAGAAGTATCCGGAAGGTTCACATGATGAGGGGAAACATTCCAGCAAGATGGAGGGGGGTGAGGGTTGAGATTCAAAAGGCATGCCACACCAAGCCCCAAGCCCCACATACGGTTTCACTCACTGGCAACAGACACCCTGTCCACATACGGCAGCAGAATGTTGACTGTGTTGCGAGTTGCAGTTCCGGCTGTGAGGGAGGTGAGAGAAATCCCGAGCTGTATCTTTCTTTCGGAGGTCTTCCGTGTTGGGAGCCCTTTGGAGTCCAATTCTTAGGTCGATGTTGAATCGTTGTGACTTGCTGCGCAGAATCACGATGCTGTTGTGACGAAAAGCAGGTACAGAGGTTATCTTGCGGTCACTTGAAACCTTTGATGCGAATACCCAACGTCCAAAGGATTGCCTTGCTCGCTTTGAGGGCATAGATTGACAAGATGGAGCTCTGTCTCTGGGGGAGTTCTTGTACTGGAGCGAGAGGGATGCCTGCTACTAGTTTTTTCTACTTCGTTACTTCGTGCAAACTCTAATTGCTCGACTTCAATGCCAGATGCGCAGTTTTTGCTGTCATGCGACACCTGGCGACTGTAGCGCCGGCAGCGCAGGCGCCCGTGATGGCGCCCGTGCAGGCGCAGGCGGCCAGGCCTGGCCTTGGCAGAGAGGATCCAACTCCAGCCTACAGGAGCCGGCTATCCCTCCCGCCCAGCCTTTCTGTTGTTTCGGTCTGTCTTGCGCAGGATTGCAGATGCCCAGGCTTCCTCTGCAGCTGCCCCAGGGGTGCCGTCTTGTGTTGGGTTATGAAGTGATGATGCTGGTCTGTGTTGCTACCGGCAGTACACTCGAGGGTCTTTCCCTGCGTGAGGTCGCCAGCGTTGCCTCGAGCCAGCCAGGCCGTCAAGACGTGTCGAGTGATCTCGTTTCGACGAGAAGAAGAATGCCATCTAGCACAGCCACCTTGTTACAGCTTCGCCGCTTTGAGTCACCGGGCCATCAATCGTCTTATAATTTTGTGCGGTAGCGCTGTTGTGAGGAACGCTTCAACTGTCAACATTACTTTTGCTTGACAGCAGCGGGGTAGCGATTCCGAATTTAACATACGACAAATGGCAGAACAGGTTATTGAAGCTGTCAAGATAACCCAGAGGACACAGCATTCTGAGGCTGCGCTTTCTAGCAATGCAGAAAGGGGATGGAGAACCTGCAGGGTGTGACGGAACAAGGCGAATGTGCTAATCAGGAATCAGGCTTTCGTGTTCGGACGCTGGAGAGACCAGCAGCGTGTCTCCTTTCCACACGAGAGTGATAATGCAGGTGCGTCGCGAATGTCTTCTGCTACAAGTCACCAGCAGACGCCGAGACAACGACAGGCTGGGCCATGTTTCTTTACAGGACATAGATTCTCCATGAAGTGAGTCCCTGACAGGGAGGAGCTGCCTGAAATGTGCCAGTCGCTGCAGGTGCCTGTCATTCCAGCAGCACCTCCTCCGTCTCCAGCCAGCCCGAAGTATGCAGGTTACGCGGTGCTCGGAACTGATTGCATTTCCACTCCACGACTCACCCAGACTGCCAAAGGTGCTCAAAGCTTACAGCATCCTGTGGTTCAGCAATTTACACCAGCGCATGCGCCGGTGTATCGTGTGGATCCGTCCAGATCGAATTTGCAAGCATCCACTCCAATGCGCGAGCGGGCGGTTTTGGTCCCCAAGCTGGATATGAGAAAGCTTGCCCAGAAATAGCGCCATCAGTCATGTACAAAGATCGGGTGAATGGACGGCAGCCTCTCCTGCCGTCAACGTGGAAATTCCTGACCAAACCCCAGCGGCATTGTGACCACGTCTTCAAAATCGAAAAGGCTGCGTGTTGATTGCTTATAGGGATTTTGGGGAAGCCTGGCTGCAGTCAGTGGTGGTTATGTCTCCTGTCAACGAAATTGAAAGTGTTCCTGCATTGCCATGTTTCGCCAGTTAAGCATAGTCTTCGTGAAGTGACGTGAACCGCGCCTCTCGCTTGCTGGCCTCGCGCAACCGTAGATACGAAGAAAGAGCTTTCCAGTTAGAGCCCCGCAGATCATCTTTTACACTTCCGTGGTTCTTGCCGGCACTAGTAGTCGCGAGTAGGTGGCAGCAGGAGGAGGGCAGCGCAGCATTTCTGAAGAATGTGGACTTAAGGATCTTCAGAAGGCGACGTGAAGTAGTCCCAGCATGCTCAGCAGATAATCTCAGCATTCCCCGGATAATGCCGTTGACAGTGCGGCGGTGCGGCAAGCAGGCGGCCACAGGGAACGAAAGATTTACTGTGAAGATGCCCCATGTCTCTGTGATACCTGAACTCAGCCCTGCAGAAGGTTCATACGTCTGCCGATAACCTGGAAGCGTACCAGCTTGTTGACGATGACCTGGGTCGCTTAGTGCAGTGGACCCTCGGAAGCCAGCAGGACCGAGAGACATGCTGGACATCTTTGCGTTGAAGATTTCTTGTGCAGGAGCTGTGGGAAGTGCGCTTCGTGTTCACACATGTCTGTGGTCCGAACGGGGGCACTGCTTAACCCTGAGACCGGCATTGTCTGAATGTGTTTGCATGGAGTTGAGGGCTCGCGTTAAGCCATTTGACCGTCACAGCATGCAACGACACGAGCGCGTCGATGGAATAGCAACAGGTCTCATTGTGTTTTACCCTGCGAAGCTGGGTCTCAGATTCAGCGATCCGTGCTGGAGCATGTAACTTATAATTTGTTCTCCTCAAACCTGGGCAATAAGTTTTCTACACTCGGACGATTTGCAATGTCGCAGACATTCCTGACTAGCGACATTACTCGCTAACAGCTCGCGGGGGTGGTGGGGGGGTGTGAGTGAGTTGCAGTGCGAGAGCAGCAATGTGTTGTTAAACCTTGAACGGCCGAAGGTCCTCGGCTTGGGATTCGGGACGGCTGATGCCAGATCCTCGTAGAAGCGGTCGAATTTGCAGGAGGCCCAAACGCCGCGATTCAGTTTCACCAGTCAGCTGGGCTCAGGCGAGAATGGAAGAAGTGGACATCCTGGAGTGCGAGAGCTTAGCAGTCTGCGATGCCTACGATGGCGAAATCAACATCCTGGGACAGCAAGTCAGCAAGGATGGGTCAGGGATCAGGGGTGATTGCTTGAAAACAGGGTGTCAGTACCGACTGGCTTTGCTGTGCATGCTGTGCGAACGAAAAATCGTTGATGCCCGCAGGATGGCTTGGACCTTTGTGAGTAAGTCCCTCGGACGTGCGCGCGTGACATGACATGTCCGATTCAATGCATGTGTGCTTTGTTGGATGTTTCCGTTGGATTCGGATGTGTTTAGCGCAGCAGACTTTGCAGCGTTCCGGCGGTCCGGCAGGAGACCAGGCCCTTTTTATTCTCGTAACATGGCTGGCAGATGCAATGAGGCCGAGTTCTGGCACGTGCGAGGAAGAATCCATAACTGCTGTGAGCTTAGAGCACTATTTTCGTGAACATTGCTCCGAGCACTTGCCAAGGATGGCACTTTCACATTACCTGAGGCGATGTACGATTCCTCCCAAGGGCTGCTCAGGTTCACGGTCGACTCGCGGAGATGTCGCAATGCTCCCAGTGGATTCCCGTCGTGTGCCGCTGCAGATCTATCAAAGAGCTGTGACTCGCATGTTTGTGAGTGCCTCTTCTGGACAGCGTTAAAGGTCGAAATGGCATGTCAACGGTCACATGACAGGAGTCGTGTGTTTTCCATGCGCAGAAGAGTGACTTTCACGTGGATGCCGTGTCTTCTGTGCATCTGTTTGAGCTGTTATCAGCTAAGCACGGTCAGCGTCACAGGATTGTGGGTGGGCGGTCGAGAGATCAAAAAAAGGTGCCCGGCACCGACAAAAACGGGGCTCCTGGGATGTGCAAGCTGGTATCTCTGCAATGAAAATGCAATTGCAGGCAGGCGAAATTGTAAGCAGGGTACACACACACACTTTATGGGAAAGCCGGAGCACAAGGGCAATGTTTATGATTTACAACTGTATGCTGGTGGAGAAGCCGTCTAAACTCAATTCGCAAGCATCCGCGGCTCCCCTGCAAGAGCAGGTGGACAGTTCCGAGTGGACATCACGAAGGAGACGCTCAGGCTATCTCGACAAGTAGAGTTTCCAAAGGGTACACTGACAACGTTCATGGAAGGCACAGAGAGCTGTATCCTACAGTGGCTTTCGCAAACAGGAAAAGCAAGGTGGGCACCTTAGAATGGAAGAGTATCCGGGCAATGCGGAGCCGTCTCCTGTCTCAGGTTCGCATCGAGCTCATAAGGTGCTTGATGGTGCGCCGGAAGCGGAAGCCACGAAGAAGGGAGTGCAGAGCAGAGACTTGCAAAGAGCATGCCCCATGGCGTCAGGCCATGCCAGTTCCTCGAGACGAGCGCTTACTTCGGAGAGATTTTTCGACCTCTTTGGCGGTAGCCGCTCGCTTGCAGACCTTGCTCCGTATCACTGTACGGAGACGCGCATGTGCACCAGAACTCAGTTCGCTTGAACCCAGACGAATCCGTGTTGACCTGAGGCAACCGAGGAAGGCAAGCCGAAATTTTGGCTGCAGGGTTGCGAGGTTTTGCGATCCATAAAATAAGTGGTTTTCCTCCTAACAGCTGTTTACACACACACAACACACTTGCTTGCTTACTATATTCTTACGTACTCTCTTACACTTTGACACTTAGACTTACACACACACACACACACACTCACTCTTTGGCACACCTTACGCACACATATCATACATACACACACACACACACCATCCTCTGCAAGCCCTTATGTGCACTTACATTGACATGCACACATACACAACCGCACGCACATGCCTACACTGACACTTACACCTACAATTACATTTAGTCTTTGACTGTTGCCTGTTGCACTTACCTTTACGTAGCCAGCATCCGAACATGACATGGTTGGTTCAAGGTGCTACAGACTTCCCCAGCGGATGTGTCATCTTTGAAGTGGACGGCCGCAAGCTGCGGGTGAGCCCAGGGCCGCATGCACTGGCGGAAGCGAAGATCAATTGCAGGCTGTCTGTTCTGACATAGCAGGCAGACAAGTTTCTGCTGGCAGCTCGCTCGGTCTACTTTGAGCGTATGCTCCATACTGGCATGAGCGAGGTGACTCAACAGTGTGTTACGTGCTTGGAGCCTTGCCTTAGACCATAGTCTCTGGGCATCATGTCAGGGAGCCGCATCGCGAGTTCCCATTCCGAGGCCCAGTGTGCTGTGAGCTGGTGCAGTCGAGAAGTCAACTCAACATGTCGGCAGGGCATCAGCCCCTGCTTTCGAAGCAGTTCTGCGATTCATCTATTCCGCCGGCCAAGCTGGGCAAGCGCCGATGCTGCACTTGGCAAGCACTGAAAGCTGTTCATCTTGAGGTTTAGTGCAAAGAGGTTTAATCATGTTTAGTCGCGATTCCGGCCGGCTTAGCCCGGTGCTGTGACGGATGTTGATTTTGATATCGACGATTGCATTACTAGCATTTCAGCCTGCGTAACTGTTCGCACCAAAAAACAAGGTCCTGCTCGTGACACAGGGGTGCATGATGGTGAATGTGCGGAGTTGTGATGGGTCGTGACAGTCTTCCAACGCCTTCAGCAACAAAAGCGCCTAATTGAACAAGTCCTACGATAATCGTCGGCCACTCTGAGGACTTTGGATCTTGTGCCTTTAGCTGAGTAAGCGCTCGGACTCAAACCGAGCACCTGTGCAGCTCTGTTTTGTGCGTGACTTTGGCGCCTTCAGGCTTAAAGTCGAAGCATGTCGAAGCTTGCTTCCGAAAGTCGAGACGAATGGAGTAGACGGAGTCGGAACAGTTCGGGGAGTCAATGGAGTGACAGGTGGAGGAGCCCTAGTGGAGGCACGAGAGATTTCCCCGACAAAACCGGGCGTCGATTCCTGAAACAGATGCCCCATGCTGTGGAAAATGTTCTGAACATTTGGCATTGTTTTCCGTTTGGACCTGCACAGTCATTCTGACGAGCATGCTGCGTGCGTATGGTGATATGGACTACGACCTAGCTCTGGCGCACACCAAGGCGACTTCGTCTGAGACCGAAAAAGAGAGCATGGATGCCCTTGCGGACCATCTCGGGGCGGAGGTTTTCTGTCATCAGGGCACGACCCGCAACCACGAAGCAGCACAAGGTCAAGGTCGCCGGCGAAGGGCGAGAAAGATCAGCATCCAACACTGAAACCTCGCACCTAAAGCTCATGTGAACAGACAGCTGGCGCTCAGAGTCACCCGCACAAGGCTGTGAGCATCCCCGGCCGAGAGACCAGTGGCGGACAATGGCCTTCATTAGTGTATATGCTGACAATTGCCGACACTGTAGATCACCGGCTTGCCAGCAAAGCTCCCAACTAAGCACCAGTTCTTTGCTGTTTTGAAGGCCTCACATTCCGTCTCGGTGTAAGCATGCCGCCGAAGCAACACGGTGTTGGCCGATTGTTTCAAGATGATGTGTGCCACTTGAACCACCGTGGGAGAAGCTTGCTGAGTGCCTTGAATAACGTGGCCGCAGAACATGAACATGACTGTTCAAAGACAAGCTGACTTGACAACGTCAGAAGATTTTGGTGGAGGACTGTAGCTCTCTTTCGCAATGCGGTCGGGCATGTAGCACGGATGACACCCGGCTGGTTGAGCGCGCAAAAAACTTTAAAGGAAAGCTGCTGAAAGAACCGACACCCTGTTTCGCGGCTGCTGCTGGATCGTTTCAGCCACTGTTAAGCCTGTATCCTGTGGATTGAAGACGGGTGACGACAACGAAACATGCTGTTGCGAAGTTTCAGAGACACGATGTTCAACGAGAGAGAAAGTGTTCACCGACGGTCTATGCTGAAACTGCGCCTCGTGGACTCGTGGATTTGTGTTTCCTTCCTCGGCAACACGTTCCGTGGATTTTGTCTTAGATCTTCCGGATGTTCGCGTGAATGAAGTCGCCGAAATGTCATAAAGATCACAGGCCTCTCTTATGTAAATCACGCAAAATCCGCACCTAACTCTGCACAACACATAGACATCAAAATCCGCAACACCTGAGCCAGACTAAGACAGGATCACATGTACCCCACAGCTCCGTGAGGGACCACATGACGTCTTTGATGTGCAAGGTCAACCGTGCTGCCAGATCCGCTCGCTGTCCTCCTCTAGCTCACTTTTATCGAGGCAATGGCACATCGTCCTCGCTTCCGTCGGGGTCGTCGGAAAGGATGCCACCGCCAGCAACTTCGACCGCTGGTTTGGGGTTAATCACTTTTCGATGCACGCGGACCTTGTGCCGCTGACAAAGGCTCGTATGTGCCTAACAGCACGCAGCTGTGGGACCTGGAATCAAGCACCGTGCAATGTTTGGGTTTGAACTCGCGAGCCCTTGCCAGCTTCCAGGTACGCCAGCGGCAGTCTAGTCTAGCGGGAGCATATACGGCAGAAGCTGCACTAGGAGCGCAAGTTCGGCAAGCTAAGGGTTTGCAGAAGTTCGAAAGGCAGTGCCCGGTCGCACTGGTGGGTCCCCATGCCGAAGGTGCGCCAGGCCTGGGATAGTCGGGGTCCCCTACGACACCCACTGCCAAACCTGAGTCCTCGACGAGATCGGCTTTGTCACTAGTCACCGAAGTCCACGACGAGATCCGCTAGCGCACCGTCAGGGTCCTGTACGCAGAGGTCGGTGTCTGTTGGGGATGCTGTTCCGAGACGGCGACTTCCGATCGAATAATCGTTATCGATGTCGGCTCCAGAACCGTGACGGCTTGACAAAGTGGAACCACAAGATCCTCGCCCATGTGATGTTCCATGGTGAGTGTCGTGTGGGCCTTGACACGGAGGAGGCTAGCGCATGAGAAACGATCCGCCTGACGGAAGGCACTGAAATCAGCATTTCTGTTGTTGTTTTGTTGTGGCGAGGGTTCAACGCACGAGCACATGTGAAACCAACGGCCGATCCTGGTGTATCCATTGATGCCATTATGGCTTAGAGAGCAGGGTTGCAAACGAATTTTGCACCCGAGTGCTTTCGCTCGCCAAAGCGGGTTCATGCAAGCTTTGTGAAAGTTGCTTGAGCTGTCGCTGACCAGTGGGTTTTAGTCACCACCAATTCAGAAACACGTGCGGGGCCGTGTTTGGTCGTCTACTTGTAGCAACGGTTCAGCTGGGGAGGCTCCCCCGCGGCATCATTGAAATCATCGATTCAGGCAGTAAGGAGGGGCCCCCATACGATAAAGATGAGTGCGTGATATTGCATGATTGGAGGTGGGGAGCGCTCCCTTCCCTCGAGATCCTTCGCGAGCATCTTCACAGTCTTTTTGCATCGTGCATGCGTCATGTCTGCTCGGCCCGGAAGGATCGGTTTAAGCAACGTCGCACTTGCAGGATTGCCATCGCAGCCGCACTTCCGATGTTTCACTTGCACATATGCGCTGCAACGACAGATCCTGTCTGCGCTTCCTTCCCCTAGCCCTCGTTGTAGTCTTCTCAACTTTTTCCGTGGCTGCCAGTTTCCGCTCGAAGCAGTCAGCTGTACAGGGAGTCATGCAAGAAGATCACAGCTGTTAAAACACGATCCTACGCATTGTCCCGCAGAGTGCTGCCTTGCTTGCAGCAGCTGGAGCATCCTCACGTGTGTCGAAAAGAGGGGTATCGAAACACAGCATCATCAACTCAGGCGGTTTGCAAGCAAGGATCGACTGTGGAATGAACGCAGCTAGCTCTGTCCGGAGTCGCCAACCATGCTGAAGACTGCACCACGTCTCAGGCAGCTACCAAAGCCAGCGAACAGTCATGAACAGTGCGACGCGAAGCGCATCAACCCACTTCCAACTCGGCAATTTCGTTCAGCAAGCTTGTCCGCCCATCACAGTGGCAGTAGAGTGAAATGGCATGCTTCTGCCGTCCTTTACCGGTGCTCCGTGACTTGAATGATGGTGTGTGCTGAAGGTGCTTTTCGAGCACGCAGATCCACTGGAAGCTCGCAGCCCATGTAGGCAGCAGTGCGACGAGACTCAGCACCTCTTGTGCCCGAGGTCCTGCACCTTTCAGTTGAGTTCCTGCTGGAGGCCATCCCAGTCAAATGAAGTTTAGTGTTGAACTCGCAAATCTTGGAGGATCTGACCCGGCTTTGTGAATGGAAGCTCATGCAGGGACTGACGCTGGACCCTGCCTCTGCAATGCAACTTCTGTAGAGTGGAACTGTTCATGAGTAGTTGCTCGTGCAGGAAAATGCTCTTGCCACTTTTGGATCCGTGGTCACTGTCCGCAACCAGGCATGCACACGACATTGAAGAACGCACGGCGACTAATTCATACGTAGCCAGCATGCTACCACTGCAGTTTTGGCCCCGGGCAGGTGCCGGCTCTGGTGGAATCTTGCATAGAAAGGCTTGCGGTTTGCGGGTTGGTTGCATCCTCCGAGCGCCGGCGTCGTCTTGAAAGTCGATCCCGTCAGGATGCAGGGCCGCATGAAAGATGCCGGGGCCCTTTCGAGAACAGACTTGCACATCTGTTTGCAAGAGGAGTAGCTTGACCTTATAACTGTCGAGGTAGTTGGAAGCGAATCCTTCAAAGAGCTCTGCCGTAGCCATCACCTCAATCCTGCTGGTGGGAGAGTTGTGTCAAGGGAATGTCGTCTGAGGAATGCAACGGTGGGCAAGTCTGTTTCTGAATCAGGTGAAGTTGGCGTGCGGGAGTTGCTTCTTTCGCTCGATGAGTTCTGACCTAAGCCAACGACAAGGTCAAGGTATTGAGAGACTGGGCATGTGACATGTGATAGTATGCATGTAGTGTAGCTTAGTAAGGGACCTCTTTTGTCCATGGCAAGCAAGGCCTCTCGCAAAGCGGCGTCGAATGCTTCCTGGTGTCAGACCAGGCTGAGCTGTGAAGGATCGTCCGCAACTTCTGCGCATCTCCGACAATTTAAGAATTCGGAGATATGTGCCGTGTAGCATGCCAGATTGTGAAGCTGAGTCCAAAGGTGCCGGACGGGGTTGTTGCAGCCATCGTCCATCGTATCTCATGCTTGCTGATATGGCTAGTGTCGGTGCAAGGTTCCGGGGAATGTCTCGATGAAGGTTCCGGGCTAGGTTGTGCGGGAGGAGGAAGGTGGTTCCGGCAAGGTTCGAGGAACGCCCCATTCTGGCACTGAGTTTCCCTTCAATTGAAGCTTTAGGTCCTTGTGCTTGGGAGCATCTCTGGCTCAGAGACTCGTAGCTCGCCGTTGTCCAATGGAGGCGACCAGGGACGGCAAGATCCAGGATGGCCGGATAGCGCTGTCCACAGCCCTTTGGGACACCAGCTTAGAAATGCCAGGTCGTCAGGATGCTACTGAGGTCGATGCACGGGATGCCAACACCCCGGACAAGTGGATCAAACGTCATCCCGACATGCTACGCAACACTGGGATGCATCCTTTCAACTCGGAGCCACCTCTCAAGAACTTGCAGGCAGCTGGCTGGATTACACCCCCGGCTTTGTATGTGGTCCGAAACCATGGAGCAGTGCCACAGCTTTCCTGGTCCGAGCATCGACTGAAGATTACAGGAGTCCCAAAGCCAGTGGACCTGAGCATGGAGCAGATTGCATCTGGTGAATGGGGCACCATTGTGTCGATCCCAGTGACCTTTATCTGTGCTGGGAACCGGCGCAAGGAGCAGAACCTCACCAAGAAGACAGTCGGTCCTTTGAAAAAATCGATCAATATCGGTTCCTTTTGATTTGAGTTTGTTTTGCTTCACACTGCACTTTGGAGAGTCGCGTGTGCGCCAACAAGGATTCGATTGGGGAGCCGGAGCCGTCGGGAACTCCGTGTGGACAGGAGTCCGCCTGTGCGACTTGCTGGCAGCGGTTGGAATCACGCGGCCTTCGAAAGAGCATCGCTTCGTCCATTTCGAAGGTCCTCTGGGTGAGTTGCCTCAGGGAAAGACGGGATCATACGGCACTTCCATCGATTTGGGCTGGGCGCTGGACAGGGAGCGAGATGTGCTACTGGCCTTCAAACAAAACGGAGAGCTGCTTACCCCGGACCATGGATTTCCCCTGCGCACGCTCTTGCCTGGTTGCATCGGTGGCCGGATGATCAAATGGCTCTCCAGTATGTGGGCTTCTTGTTCGCACATTTTGCAGAGAAGAATGTTGTGCTCAAGAGTTTTGTTTTCTAGTTACGCATCTCACATCATGAGAATAGGAAGCCCTTGCTGTGGTGTTCTTGCCACGAGGAGTCGTTGATTTGATTTCCCCACATCTTCTGGTGGGGTTTTGGTTTTGGGCTCGCACACTCCTAGCCGCCCCGCCAGGTCCGCCCGCCCACACTCCACCCGCTTACCCAGCCACACACTGGTGTTTCACGAGTTTTAGGTGCATGTTCGGTGAGTTTGATGATGCTGCAACGTACATGGATGGTTGGGTAGGCTGTCGTTGCCCATATAAACTTGTAGACCATTGTGTGCGTAGCCATTGCGGCCGGAGCACACCAGGTTTCTCTTTTCAGGTAGGCATGGATGATCCGCTTCGCCGTTTACCTGCGACTGTCCTGGTGGCTCTTAATCAAGGGGCCCGTCAATGCCTTCAGTCCATTGGCGTGGTTACCCTGGAAGATTTTGCCAATCTGGTGACTTGCCCACAGGAACTGCTGGAACTCAGCACAGATGATGATATTATTGTTTCTCTTACGTCGGCATGGCAACAAGCTCGAGTTCGCATGCACGTCATTGAAGACCAGGCTCTGTCAGGACCACGCCTTGCTAGGCGTTCTCGTTCGCCGCCTCAGCCCACCTTTGCTGCTCGGCCTAAGGCTCGGCTATTTGCACCTGTTGCACTTAAGCCCCACAGCCATAAGACGGAGATCTTGAGAGGCTCCGGGATGATAGCCGAGCCTGGACCCCTCGTGCAGAGCAAGCGCCAGCAGATTCTGGGTGCCAGTGTGGTTCGGACAATCTGGTTTTCGGTACTTCGTTGAAATCTGATCCCGATGCTGCCCGACCTCTGTTTGAGCGGAAGTTTCTGACCTTCACCGATGATCATCTTCTCACCAAGCGTTCCTGCCTCCGCAGGTGGATGACTTGGCATCAGAAGCATGGGCCCTCAGACCAGCTCTTCTGGAAGCCGTCACCTATTCAACTGGCATCCTTTCTGGAACAGTCAGTAAGAATGGCCCTACGGCTGCTTCAGGTTGTCTTCATGGCCTTCGGTGGTGGCGTCAGCACGTGGGTGTCCCCTTCCCGGTAGGTGACGCCCTAGTTAGCCACTTTGCGAACCCAACTCCTGGCCATTGCCCGAAGCAAAAGGAACCAGTGCCCATCTATATCAAGCTGGCTATGTGTAAGGCTGCCAAGAATGCTAAGGGAGCTATCAAGACTTGTCTGTGCCATGCTCTTCTTGCTTTGGTGGGGTGCCTGCGGTACAAACACCTGCAAAGATCACAATCTTTTCGACTCGAGCATAGTTTCCCTCTAGGGTGACTTGTCGGCGTGGCAAACGCTGGAGCCCCCTCTATCTCTCCAGGGCTCGGGCAGCATGGAGAGCGGCCAGGACCACCATGTTACGATCCGAGCTGCGAAATCAACAAGGCGAGCCTGCCGAGGAGATCGAGTGTGCTTTGGAATCGTCTACTCAGGAGACCCTGTTGCAACAATTCCATGCCACTTACACAACATCACGGTCGATGCTCACTACATGCCATCCGACACCCTGTTGGGACGACTCTTCAGGGAGTGCCAGCATCTGACACCGAGTGTAATCAGCATCTCGAGGGTCAAATCGCTTTATGCTGCGGCGAAGCCTCCCTCCGACAAGACGATCGTCCTCTCCGAGCAGGTGCAGCTTCAGCACATAGCTACTTGCAACAGAGCTTGCCGAATTGCAAGTCTTATGTCAGGAGACGTCTGCCAAAATGGCTCTGCCATTTTGGCCCAAGATCGTGGACCTTGGGTCCTTCAAAATTTGAAACTTTCGCTCCCGCTTTTTCTCTCGCGACCGTCGATCATGGCATTCACCCCCGTTGCTAATGTCGATGATGTTCTTGCCTCCAGCATGGAGACGGTTGAGAGCTTGGTCCCCCCTCATGACGCAGGGGACAGTGATCCGGAATGGGAGGATACTGACCCTACTCAGGCCTGTGGCCCTGCTCCAGGTCTTTTCTTCGGCAGGGATCCACAATCTGGTCTATGAGGCCAAGTCGCTCAAGGAGGCCATGATGGAAGTCCGTGCGGATGCCCTCTTCTGGACCAGGGAAGTCTACGAGCGTGTGTCTCGGCCTGGTGATAAGGGTCCCAAAGGCACTCCGAAAGGTGAGAAAGGCAGCCCCCCTGCAAGGTGGCAGGGTAAGGGCTCTTGGAAAGGGAAGCAAGCCTGGTCGGTGTACCAGCCCTTCCTCAAGCAAGCCACCAAGGGCAAAGAAGGCAAGAAGGGCAAGGGCAAGGATACCTCTGGCCCCAGAATTGGTCCAGGAACAATCCGAAAGGCACCCCCTTTTGCAGGGACTATCACATCAAGAAGCAGTGTCCTGGCAACTGTGGACGTTCCCACAACTGTCCTGTCACCAAGGATGGCTGGGTGTGCAATGCCCCTCCGAATGAGCACAGCCCAGACAACTGTCCTTACAAGTGAGGACTTCCAGTCCCAGGTGCCTTCGGCCCTGAACAAGGAGAAGCTTTGGAGGCGGTGACACACGTTGCCCCCTCCACATCAGGTGCCCATGGCCCTGACCGGGAACAAGCACGTGGTCGCGATCTCCCCGGAGGAAGCCTGTCTCCTCGCCATGTGTGGACCCTGTGCATGAGGGTCTACCGCCCTCCAGTAGTGCTCTCTCGGATGACAAGCCCTTCTCTCTCGGGCTTTGGATTGAGAGGCATTACCCGGGCACCCTGCCTGCAGACCACTCTCCTGAATGGCTTAAAGGAGTCCCCGGTCTCCTTCCGAGTGCACTGCCAGCATTCCTGCCCAAGCTCCGGAATTTTTTTCGAGAGTTCTGGCCTTTGATTCCTCTAGGAAACCCGATGGTAAGGACCTCCTTAATGTTCGGGTCGCTCTGTGTCTCGGCGCTGCAAGGACACATCTCCTTTGTGGGTGGCTGTCAGACCTCAAAACCCGGGGTTTAGATAGATGGTTTCAGGACTCGAGTACTTTCCATGCGGTTCGTGCCCGCTCCGCAGAGAATGCCTGGGGCATAGCCGCGCTGAGGATCCAGCTCGAGGAGCCATTTCCCCGGCCAAGAGACGCTCCTCTTCGGCCTGGGCCACTCCGGCCCTACGTGCTTGGACCTTAGATCTAGGCCTTGAGGTTCTTCATTTCGATCTTTGCCTCTTTGGATGGGTTGTTAGTCGTCCCTCTAGAGCGGTCACGAACCTTCCCCTCCAATCCTGGGAGGGAAGGACCTGCACACATACCCATCACCTTAAACATGATAGTCCCGTGCCTGGGGACGCCCGGCGACCTGAAGCCATGCTACAGAGTGTTGCCTCGGCGTTGGCCGAAATGCTTCGGAACACGGTCTCTCCGGTGGTGACTTCGCCGAGTGGGCCCGCCACCAAACTCCTCGCTGATCCCTCGCTGGGGCAGGAGCGTCCTCGCTGGGCGGCTCAAGGGTCAGCACCCATCGGGGCGGCTGCTCAACCCTCCCTACCCTCGCTGGGAGGGAAGCGTCATGATGCTGGGTCTCCTGGTGCAGGTACCCATGCAGGCGATCACTTGCTCGCTGCGGCCCCGCTGATTGGGTCTGATCGGCCTTCGCGCTGCCGCTTTCAGAAAAGCTTGACTTAGACGATGCCACAATGAGAGTGGCCCATGGTTTTAAGGTTAGGCCTCTGAGGGACGGAGGTGGTAAGACCTCCCCCGGTAGGATGCCCCCACACTTACGCACGGGACCGAAGGCTCCTGCTCTGGGAAAGTTCATCCGCGAAAAGGCCGGGCGCCTGGTCCCCTCCTTCCTAGCCTCCACGGCCGCGGGTGCCAAGCAACACCCTTTCCCGGATTCTGTTCTCAAGGAAATTCGGGATTTTATCATGCCTCAGCACCCCCAACTGGCTTCAGGACAGCCCTTTTACTTGGATGTTATCGGGAAACTCCTGTGCGACATCCAAGATGTCGATGCTGAGTACCCGCTGATACTCAAGGAAGGGGTCCCTCTGGGAGTGGACACCCCTACTCTCCAATCTCCGGGCGTTTGGCCTCTGAAATCAGAGATCATTGGAGAAGAGTGGGACCCAATAAAAGCACCACCCCCCACAGGCCATACTAACTACTCCTCCGCTGACACCTTTAGGGAGGAGATTCGGCTACCTTCGTGGAAGAAACTCCACTGGGTATGGTCATCGGGCCATGCACGCGTGCCGAAGCAGCAGCGCACTGCCAGTGTACGGAAGATGAGCTCTGCCCCTGCCCCATGGCGGGGATTGATGAGTCGGACAAGATCCGTTCCATCTTTGATGGCTCCAAGGGAGGTGCTAATCTCCGTATCCAACAGAACACAGTGGAGAAAACCACGGCTCCGACTGTCATGGACTGCGTCCAGTGCCTACATTGGCTTCGGGCATCACGTTCTCGTGGGAAGCCAGGTGCCTATGGCCCTGAGCCCGGGGAACAGGAGACCACGGATGCCTCTGGGTCTCGTGAAACCCCCCCTAATACAGAAAGCCCGGAACGGGACAGTCCCTCGGAAAAGGAGGACTCCAGCGCCGGCTCCGGCCGACCCTGGGGCTTTCCTGGCTCTGATGATGAGTGGATCCTGCTCAAAGCTGACGTGACTAAGGCACACAGGAGGATCAAGATTCTCCTCCGAGAATGGCGCTACCAAGTGGCCCAGCTTGGTGAGGAATGGTGGGTTAACGCAGTAGGCACTTATGGGATGGCCTGTGCCCAGCTCTACTGGGGACGTATGGCTGCCATCCTTGTAAGGATTGTGTATGCCGTGTTTCCCGAGGTTGACTGGGTTTCGTCTTTGTCGACGACTTTGCCTGGCTGCTCCGTAAATCGAACTCCCCCCTCTTGGCGACGGCAATTTGCTTGCTGTTGCTTGCCCTCGGCACTCCTTTGAGCTGGAAGAAAACCTTGCTAGCTGAGGTCAACACTTGGCTTGGCTTTGTCATTGACCCAAAAGGGCCCTG